TATATATACAACAATGTAAAAAGAACTTTAACTATATCTTTCACAATTCTTTTTTAAATAAACTCTTAAAACAAATGGCATTTTGATCTTAAAAATGAAATAATTTATTCAGCAAGAAGTCATTTTACTTATCTTCTTTTTAGAAGATTTATTAAGATATCTTATAAAATATATTTAAAAATTTTTTTATTGATCTAAATGTTTTCTTTTGTGTAAAGTTATGCAGATATTGGTGACCAATCAATAAAAATTAATCCTAATTTTATATGGAAAGAGAGAGAGATAAAACTCTATTAATATATATTCCATGTAGACATATACAAAAATATTGAGTTTATTCTATTATTTGCATACATCATGTTATATGTAATATTTTTGAGAAAAACAATAATGTACAATTGTCTCATTTTCATGTTATAAATTTTAATTTATAAAATTGTCAATTGAACATAAGTATTATTAACAATATAGTCAATTTCCTCTATTCTAAGTTTTCTTAATATTAAAACAAATGTTTTTTTTCGTGCTAACACTTCAATCATAGATATAGATATCAGCTTACCATGTTAGATTAAAAAAGTGAGTGAAAACAAAGTGTATATTTTCTCATTTTGCTTATTAGAAAAAGAGTGAAGATTGAGGGAAAATCTTTGAAATGCTCAAATTCTTCTGAAGTAATTTTAGAATAAAGAAAATCGACTGTAAAATTCATGTTCTTAGAAAATTAACAATATTTCAGTCATTAGGATGTGCGTTAAGTTGAAGTCATTCCAACAATATTTCCAAGATATTGGCTAATGCCACTTGCCTCATCCTTCAATCGAAATCCATGAGGTCCATAGGCTTTACAAAATATATTTCGGAGGCAACGCAATCGTTCCTTACGTCTAAAATAAGACATTTTAATGCAATTCACATATTTAAAAAAAAATTAACACAGTCAAAAAATTTATATCGAAAACTTACTGTATGGATGGTACATGAGCAGTAATTTCGTCATCATTTGTGTTCACATTTCCTAATAATGTGCGTGGAGTTGTGCAAGCTGCACATGAAGGCTTACAATCTAAACCAGGAATTAATACATTGTCCATACAAGCAGCATTAACAGATGTGGAACCACATAGACTACCTGTCCCTGTTACCAGTTGCCACGAGTCGCCTGAAGATGTTGAATCGTTTCGTTGTCGTATCCGTCGAGTATTGTGCGGTATGGGAACCCCAATCGGAGATGTACGATTCGCGGACAAAGATAAACGCGATCCTTGAGTGGTACCATCTTCTTTATTTGGAGACACATTAAGTGTCCCAGATGCAATACTCCTACAATAAATATAGATATGTATAAAAGTTTTGGAATATAATATAATATTTAACAAATGTTATAATATTTTAATATTTAGCAATAATGCTTAAAAACAAATAATAAAAATAATTACACATTATTTCGAGAATCATCTTGATTATCCAAATTATCGAAAAATACAGCTGTTGATTCACCATCTTCACTATTTTGTTCAATAGAACTAGATGAACTGAAATTAGGAGCTGAAATAAATTCAAACGATTCGGCGTTTATCGTGGAATTTTCCGGTTGTGAATCGCTAGGCCTCGTCATTCTCTCGTAATGTTTGTGTATACTGAAGTGTTCAGTTTCAATATATTTTAAGAAATCAAAGCAAAAGAAGAATATCTCTTCTCCTTTATTTAACCGATCTGCTAAATCGTGTCCAAAAAGCAGCCAATCATAGGCGATAGTATAATAAAGTAATTGATACGAATTTAACGTCTTATGAATTACCCCATCTGCCCATAAACTAATTCTCAATAATGAAATAAATAACGGTGTACGATCCCAACCTATAAATAATATATTATATATATATATATATATACCATATATTGTATATTCTATATCCATACCTGAGATGCAGTGAATCAATATTCCTTTACTACTATCGCTCAAATATCTTAGTATTAATCTTAAATAATTCTGTGTTAATTTGACTAGATCCCATTCTGTATATCTATCCCAGTTGATTCGTAATTGACTGGAGGCGAAGTCATCAGGTACATAGATCGGCGCGTCCACGTAATTCTGACACCAGTCAAATACCAAGCCCTTTGATCGATAATCTTGGTCTCTAAATTCCTTGAAGAATTCACATCCAGGATATGGCAGTGAAATGAGGTTAAAGTCGCTGTACCTTCTCTCTTGGTCTACCTTCTCCGATGAAGTTACGCTGAGTACCGAACAAAAGAGCTCTGTTTAAGGGCCTCTAAAAGTGGATTCATAGAATAAAACAGACTGCTCAGGCTAAGAACTATTATTATGGAACTTTACTGTGTTTGCAAAGATGGTCATCTTCTTTATTGGAATAGTTATTGTCTATTGTGTATGCAGTTCTCTTCTCAAAACTATAATGTTTCATCCTAAACATTATTATTACAAAGTATAATCTTTAGTAGATCCATCTTTTAATTATTTAGTAAAATAGTCTTAATATATAGAGCCGTCTTTCTTTTATTTTTATTATACAGAATTTATATTTATAATTCTATAGATTTATGATTCTTTCAAACTATAATAATTATATTACTAATTTTTTGCATTTATTGAATAAAGTTTTATGATAATTTTCTTTTTTCTTTTCCCTCCAATCATTTGTTTTTCGAGAAACACAAATAAAAAAAAAAAATAAATAGAAATAGGAAAAATGTTATATTAGTAGCATCCTTACGTCATTCCATATTTGACCTTCTTCTTCTCAACCATGAAATCAATGATGGTTCCTACATTAAGATTCTTCAGGAGTTCTATATCATAAAATCTAAATTTATTTTTCATGTCAATAATCGATTCTTCCATAACTCCTTTTGCAGCTTGCGTTAGACTGTTGTCTTCCAATGGAATTGCCGATGTAGAACTGATACTGCTGCTAGCTAGACTAGATAGTAAGAAATCTAATCCAGCTCTACCAAACATTTCTGGACTACTGGCTAATGTTGCAGATCTGCATACGTATCTACCCTTGTAAAGTATTACTGGCACAGGGAATCTTGAACGACATCTGGCAAATCTTGACTTTACTATCATTTTCTGGAGATTATTCCTTAAATATATAGATTCGGGTATGCTTTCTCGAATGTGTGGCGCTGGCAGTGGTGAATCACATTTCTTTGAACTTCGCATTTTATCATGCTCCAATATGATAAGATATCTAGGATAATGTCCGCAAAGGCTGCCTTCATTGTTGTCGATTATGTAATATTCATAATCAAAAGATGTGAGCAGCATACATCTTTGCATAATTTCTTGAGTCTGTTAAAATATATATCATTAATCTCACAAAAAGTTTAATAGTACTGACATATACAATTGTAGAATATTATAGAACAATTACATACTTTAACATCTGCATCCTTGGTCTTATAGGTGTTTTTTGCAAAATATGTAATAAGATCTTCTAAAGTATTTATATTAATATCAGTCATGATTTCTCGCAGCTAGACGCGTTCTCCAACTTGCTGTAGAAATGTTGTTTGAAAAATCTTCCCAAGGAGGCACTAATTTCTTGCAATTGTTATTATCAAACTCACAAGGCATTAGTTATTTATTAGCCAATATCTTACATGGCAAAAACATAACGCAAACACAATATTTAAGGTATACACACATTGCAAATACAGACTTTGCATACACGGCATTGCAAATTGACATACATCAAATCTTTCTCACCACTATTCATCTTCAAATGTTGATGACACAATCTTTTAATATATATATATATAATGAAATATTACTTTTGTAGACATGTTAATAGTTTTAATTGTTTATGTATATATTTTATCGTTATATAAAATTTTCTTTGAGAGAATGTTTTCTACTATAAATATATATGACCATTACCACATTTACTGACAAAATATTCAACAATTATAAAGTCGATATGTAATTATCTAAACAATGCAAAAACTTTCAAAACCCACACACATATATATACATATACATATGTATATATATGTATGTATATATGTGTATTTATGAAACTTGCTCGCTCATGTTATTCGATTAACGAAAGGTCGCATATTTCGAAAATTCCGTTATTGTCTCTTCTTAATTCTCTTTAACTCAATACTCTTATAATGCAAGGAAAAATGCATGAAAAAGTGAAGAATAATCGAAATTTTCTCTCTACAATGTACTCAAAGTTTGCGAACTTTGTAACAGTTTTTTTTTTTATTAATCATGAGAAATCGAAAGAGCAATAGCGAGACATAATAAATTATTCGCGCGAACAGAGGAAAACGTGTATAACCTGTCGACACTGCCGCGTGTCATCCAAAAGCATGCATCGCATTTAAGTCTCTTTGCGCACAACGTAAGAACGGACACTACGATACTGGTAGAATTATTATACAACCTTGTGTTTTTGTAATAACGATGAGACGTATTTTTAGAATTTCGCGTTTTTAGAGATTCGACGCGAGTGCCTTATTTCTTTTTTCCCTCCTCCGAGACTATTCGAAATTGAATTCAAAATATTTCCGTGGAAAAATAAGATGCCAGCGGTGTTTTCGCACTTTTCGTCGAGATAAATGAAACGACGTTCTTTGTTCACGTTTCGGCACGTTTGAATTTTATTACGGTGTTTATTACAAACGGTATTCACACACACGCGGCGTTAGGCATTATATCTCGCGATCACGTTTCCGTTTAATGATATTGTGAGGTTACTGTCGAGAAAGAGATCTGGCGAGACGCACGCGCCGCGCCTTTCCCCCTCCTCCTTCCCCAACCATCCTTCATGTCGCGCGTTCCACTTGACGACCGCAACACTCACGATATCATTTCATCCTTGTTGTTCACCGAAAGTTAAACATAGACAGGTGATACTCGCGAGCGTTAAATGGAACGCGCCCATGGTCATCGCGACGTCGGTGTTTTTCGCATATGTGATTCCGGTAGATTCACGCTCTACGGTTATATTTCGTTATTACAAATAAATGTAGACATTATGTTCGAAAAGACAAAATATTATTTTTTATTCAACTATGTTATGTCGGTTAGTATCGATAATACCGATATTCGATAAGCGTAATCGAGAGAGCACGCGGATACCGGACTGGAGCTCGCGACTTGCGATGACGCCACGCGTTCAGCTGATCGGCGGCGCGCGCATGCGCGTCGCGCCTGACGCGACGAACCGGCGGAATCGAACCGACATTGGGATTGGGAAACGCGGATCCGCGGCCGCGGCTCGTCTCGCAATATGGCGAGTGTACAATGAGGGGCTGTCGCGTCGTGCGTGCCTCGTCGACGATGATCTCGCGGGTTACAGTGACGTGATCACGTATACGTATACGATCGTTGTCGTAATATGGTGTCTCGTGACTCGTCGTGGCGCGTCGTAAATCGGCGACGCGCGCCTCACGCGTGAAACTACGCGGGGGTCGAACGCGACGACGTTTTCCCGGACGTGGGGTGGAAACCCGCGAAGCGTTACGTTTTCGCGTCGTATACGACGGGAGTTGCGAGGGACACGCGCGCGCGCGCGCGCGACCGCGATCGGTGAAAGTAAACAAATAGTTATGAGCGCGATCCTCGACGGCGAGGCAGCGGCGCCGCCGCCGGGCGCTCTCCTGGACCCTGACGTCGAGGGCATCCTCGAGGAGAAGAATCAGCTCATCAGTCGCCAGTACGCCGAGATCGAAAGGCTGCAGCGCGAGCTCGCCGAGGTTGTCGGCGAACGGGACGCCCTGCTCTGCGAGGTGTCAAAATTTAAGTTCGAGCGCGAGATGACCGATCTCAAGCGTCTGCACGATGACAGGTACGTGCGTCCGCTTGCGTTTCTTTTTTTTAATCCTACGCTTTGCGAAAAGGGATATTTCGATGATCGAGATTGAAATCTCTCGATCACACTCGGATATACAGATACGTTTTTTCTTCTCCGATCTCTGTATCTTGCGGCAATTTTTCTCCTCACTCTTTTTCTTTTCCTCCACAACGCGTCTGTTTGTACGTTTTCTTTTTTCTTCTTCTTATTCCGAACGCGCGGAAACGTGTGTGATACGATTTCGCAGCAGCGAGAAGAACAATAGATTCGACTGCGGTGAAATTAATTTACCGGCAAAAGCGACCTCCATATTTTTTTTTTCATATTCGCGATAACGTTAATCCTCGTTCGCGTTTTGCATGCACATCTCCTACGCCTTTTATATCCGAACAATACAAAGTATGTAGCGCGCGGTTTTTTGCTCAGATAGAAAAAAAAAAGTACGACTCTTGAAGCTAACAAAAAAGAGATCTGTCCAGTCGCATTCTTTTAAACTTTTGCTATTTAAAATGAGATAAAAAGATAAATCAAAATGTGATGAAAAATAGCAAAGTTTATAAAAATTTATCTTTTTTTTTTTGTTTTTGTTTTTGTTTTTGTTAAACGTAAAGTACTGGAAATACAGAAAATTATAGTATGGCGTTTCTTCCTTTTAATTCGCGCTTTTCAAGCAGAAGAAGGAGGTGTGAGGCAGGCGCAGAAATTGCATCTAAAAAGGGCGGATCCACACGCATCCTTTTCCCGCGCGTTTTTTTCTACGAATGTCTGCACTGATTTATTCGCGATTTGCTCTCGCATTTATGCGTTCCATCGTTGTTCATTTTCCAGTTTTCACGTTGCTCCACCGTCCACCCTATTATAGTTAGAGTGTCTAGCGTGAATTGCGTTAGAAGGGTGGTTCACCCTTCCTGCGAGTCGCAGGACGTCACGTTGCTCTCCTCCATCCCCCTCCCCTCCATCCCTCTCTCCTCCATCCCTCTCTCTGCCTTCAGAAAAAAAAAGCCATCAAATATCAATCACCGCGAGATTGATATTGCAGCAGCGAGCGTGCGATCGCATTTTCGTACAAATTCTCTGGCAGCTATAGCTATATCATGATGCGAGTGAGTTGACATGATATCCATGAATCGGAGGACGCGATTCGCGTACGCAATAAAACACGATATGCGCCTCATTAGATTGACTTTCTATTCGGCAATGTTGCTGCTTCTGACCATTAATCGAATTCTGATCGATTTTGTTAAGCATCGTAAGCTGTCACAGCACAGGCAGTTTTTTTTTTCGACGATTGAAAAATACGGTTGAAAGATATGGATCAGTCCAAAAAGTTGAAATAAAAATTGAAAATATCTCTTTTATTATATTTCTAGTTATTTTTACTTTCTTGCATTTCTGTCGATCAAAAGTTTCAGCTTCAATTTTATTCCTGCCAAATAAAGGATTAGTTTCTTTTCTCAATTGTTGATCGTTGGTTTAATACGCGAGATTAATGCGTTTAATATCGCATTATTTCCCTTCAATAATAACTAATTCCGCGACGATCCTTTCTTATCGGAAATGTCGAGGAAGGTTATCACCATGTGAGAATTTTTTAAACATTGTATATCGATATCTCTAGATAAGTTTTAAATTACAATGTTATCGAAGTGATGTTTATTCGACGTTAATCGAAGTATGTAATTTATTTCCTCCAAGATTTTAGTTTGTCTCATTTTCAAGCTCTTACTCTCAATCACTCGAGAACTATAGGTGCCTCAAACATTTCGCTAGGAGAAAATTTATTTTCATCATGGCGTGGATATTATAAAGAATGAAATACGTGCCTGATAATTTTGAAAGGCGCTCTACATTCGCTCATCGTTTTACGAATATGAGAAACGTCGCTACTCGATGAGTAGCCGTGATGATTCGTCATCCCGTTAAGCTTAGCCGCGTGTTTTTATTTCATTGTCGTTTGTATATTGACATTTTCCTAGTGAATGTTTAATATGCTGTCGCGTACACCGTGTCGATAATGCGTGTTATTAAAGCGAACATGAAACAGACGACGTGTACGCCGCTATCAATGTTGCAAGCGCGTACAACAGACAAATTGATAATCTATGACAGACGGGGAGAAGGGAGGGAGGGATACCTTGTGTCCGTGTCATCGAATTACAGATAGAGACTGCGCTAACCGCCTAGTCGATAATACGATACGATGTGGATGCGAAATGTTGTGGAATATATTAGATATAATTTACTTCCGCGCAAAGTTTATCTCGTATCCTCTGCGCACATTGAAATCAAATGCAACGGTAAAAAAAACGGAAATTTTGTACACACGATCGAATTATTGATGGAACGGGATACTAAATTGAGATAAAAATTGTCGATAGAACGATTTAAGTTAATTTGCAATGGTTTATTTTCGCATTTTATTCCACATTTTTTCGATTTTCAGAAAAATATTCGATTTAAAATGTATCATCAGAAATCATCTGGCATAAATAATCTCACAAATATTACAAATAATTTAATAGAGGAATTATTGTATGAATGTCCATGTTTAATTTAACCGCACATTATAAAATTGTATTATATCTTAATAAGGATAACTCGAATGCGTACGGGTCGAGCTCGTAAGCGTTGTATTCCCCTAATGCATTGTCGTGAGAGTATACACGTAGGGAATAGTAGACACACAACGAGACCCGGTAAAGTAATCACATACGTATCGTCCATCTGGAAGAGAGTAAGCGCACGACACGTAAGACGTTCCCACAAGATAGTCTCTAGAAAGGATATAACCGTGATACGCGCTGCGTATGCTGTAATAATAATTAACAATTACATCGGATGCTTTGTAATTCCTCGTGGCTTTCCTGCCATCAATCTTTGTCCTGACAGTTCACGGATACATAATTTTTCCTTTCATATACTTTTCCTGGTTCGATACCATAGATAAAAATTTTTTAAAAAGTTTTATTCGCGAGCTAGAAAGATTTATATGTATATTTCGCAGCACTTTGTTTAAAAATGTTTTTAAATGCATTCGATATTATTTTTATATATTTTACGAAATATTTTTACATTTTATATTTACAAAATATTTTTGAAAATATTAATTTCTATAATATTAAATTCTTTATATATAAATATATTCTTTTTTCACTGCTATTGCAATACGACGATACATAGTCTCTCAGCTGACAGATTAGTTTGTACGGGTTTTAAAAAGGGAAAATCAGACGCCGTAAATATAAATGCTTAGTAATCGTGGCGGTAAAAAAGGAGATCTTTGAGACTGTCCGAAATAGTGACCTTGAAGCATCCTATTGACCTGCTAGGAGATCTCTTCTTCGCTTTGAATCCGTCCAACTTTTTACGCTCGTGATTTAATACATCTGGGTTGCAGAGAACCGGTCCTTCCTGCCCCCGAACTTCGAAAAAATTTTCATGTGTGTGCGTGTGAGCTCTTTATCTCGCGCTCCCAATTGTGTATATCGTATATCGCGGGACGTGCGCGAAACTACTGCTACTCGCAAAATGCTAATCGAGCAAACACGTGTGTGACGCAAATGACGCGCTTGATTTATTCCTGGATTGTGTCGGCGCATTTCGGGCCATCTGAGAGGAGCGAGAGACCGTTTATCTTTTTTCTTTTTTTCTTTTTTTTTTTATTTTTTTATTTGTTCGTATAAAGCACAGCTTTGCGTAGTATTTTGTCTGTTAAAAAAAAAGGATCGCGAATGTTCGATTGCAATATTATATTGTGACGAGGTCGACCGGTCATGCCAAAAATATCTCGCACATAATTGCGGTTGCCCTTGTATATACGATTTGGAGGTTGGGCGATATTTGACACAGATTTGCGTACTCGCTCTCGCGATGCATCCGGTATACATACCTATTGTATCCAGCAATTTATTACGCTTGACGTTGAAAGTATCATACAAATTTCAGATTTTTACCGTTGCG